AAGGTTTCTGGTGTCGAAACTGCACGACAGAAACTATACATGTAAAACACCGGAAATATATCAAAATCAAAATTAGATATTTGTCTATAACAGGAATATTTTTTAAATACTCAAAGGAAACCCATCAAATTAATTGTACAGGAAATATCTATGTGAGCCAGTAGTTAATAAAATGCAACAAGGAAGCGTGTCTTGGCTAATAAATTTTAAGCCACTTGTTTTTTTAGGAAAATGATACCTTTTATCTCCTACCGTATGTGTTCAAAAAGAAATTTTACCTTTGTGCTAAGTTTTACATTCAATAATCTTTTCTAAAATAAATCATTGAAAAAAATATATAGCATTTTTTCCTAAGCAAGTACTTTACACAATGCCGATCATAGGAACTTTATACGAGCTACATCTCACATTTTTCTCAAACTATATGCAATAACCTTCTTAAAGCGAATAAGGTAAGTACTCGTAAAACACGCAAGTAGCTTCAACTAACAATATAACGGTTATCTTATGTTTCTTATATCTTAACCTAAACTACATTAAAGCAAAAATACTCACGCTTTTGCGTAAGTTATGTCAAATATAACGTGGCCGTTATTTTATTATCTGAAGAACTATTTGCTTTCCTTTACCCATATGTAAGATAAGTATATAACCCAAGTATTCCTTCCGAATAGTTATGCTTTCGTACCAATAATAATGTTACGAAATGCCCAGCTACGGTAAGATAGCTTCCCCGCAAAGCGGGTTTAAAGTTGTCAGAAAATGGCAAAGAAAGACAGGGTTGCTATATTTGGGGCGAAATCCCACATTTGGCGACAAAATTCTCGATATACCATAGTCGGAGCGACAGCATTCCAGAACGAATTCTTACCGGTTTACCTCAGAATGTTCTCGAAGGCAGGTCAAAAGCTATATAAACCCTGCTTGTACGCGGAGAAGCAGTCATCGCGAGAGTTCATTGTGAGAGTATCTAGAGTGCGTTGTGTTCAGTAGTAGCGTCTTGAGCTCCGAGAACGACCGAACCAAGTCGGGAGTTGTACTTTAGTGCTTTGCAGTAAAGCTGTCTTCATCGTTGTATTCCGAAAACTGTGTTGCGAATTGTTTCAGCATGTTTAACGTTGTCTTTTCGGTGACTGTAAACGTGTTTTTTGAACTGTCCTGAGTAATACTCGCAAATAAATTGCATTTTGATTCTTCACCAAGTGTTGTCATCAATCACTCCAAATCCACGAACACGTAGAAGGCAACATTAACGAACCCCTGAAGAGTAACATATGTACCATGTTCAAATTTCGTTGAAACTTGTATCCGTAATGAATCGGAAATAATTGCAGTATATGTAAGATACAAGATTTTAATGAAAAAGTGAAAAATCTGTTAAGTAATTAAACGAATGAATGCTTAACATACTTCAGTTTCGAACTTGAAATTTCCAGTTTGATCCATCATCATGCGTTGTATTAACACATAATACAACATGTAAGTCTTGCAACTAATACTTCTTCGAAATACAAAAGCACATAGTTTCCAATGCCCAAGAATCATTGTTCAGTGCCTTTCGTAATCCAGGCATTTTCATTTCATAAGTGGGGAGTTATGAATTTCAGTTTGTTAATTATTGTTCGAAAATGGAGTTAAAATGTGGGGTTATAAGCACAATGTACAATTATTTTACATTTTTTTCCCTCTAAATATACGGAAATAGGGTCAAATTCTCATTTTAATTTTATGTATAACTAATTCTGTTGTCACAAATAAATTTATATTCGAAAAATAAACATTATTATTAAGTTTAAAGTTGTTAGATTGAATGAAAATTGCAAAATAATAATACATGTATATAATTAAGAAAAATCTGACCGGGACACCACATGACTTCTTTATACGGCATATTAAGTTATGAACAGATTTTAACTGCCTTGATATTAACTACTGACAATAATAAACCGATATTAGATATTTATTGTTAGACTAACTAAATATATAAATTGTTATTATAAATGTCGTTATATTTCGTTATTTATCGAAATTTAATTTTTTTTAAATTTGAGATTCTGAAATATGAATATTTTCGTTCTTTAAAACTCTTCTGTAATTGAAAGTGCATGATTCCCACCTTCGGTTGTGAAAATAAATAATGGATAAATGCTTTTAAGCTAGGTAAACCGGAGCAAATATAAATGTATGTTTGGTACTGACGATTGCTATAAAAAGAGAAGGTACACAACTAGATGTTATAGCAGTTCCACATACAAAATTTCAACGTTCTGCGGCTAATCGTTTTTAAGTTATATGATATACATACGTACAGAAAAATTCCACGCACGAAAAATTCCTTTTGAAACCCTTTTAAATCCATTTTCCAATCCGTTTTCGAAAAAATGGTCCTTTATTATGTGCGTAAGTACAAACTTCAAGCAAAAAATGATAAATAAATAAATCTGGATTCAGGAGGGGTCAAAATGGAAATTTCTGTGGAAATATGTAACTTCGTACAACAAAATAAAAAACAGTGTTAGTAATAAATCAGTGTATAAAGTTTTTTTAAGTTTAATTACGAGAGAACATTGCGTAATAATCTTAAAATAATGGGATATTATAAGATATAAATAGTATTTGTATATTTATTATATAAATGAGTTATTTTATGATACTTGTATGTGTATGAGCTATTTTTTAATGTTTTCTATTGCCACTTATAGGAACTTCAAAAACTTAAATGAAAAATTAACTTAATACCAAGTATTATCCCCACATTTATCTAGTTCTTGAAATTCGCAACTTTATTTAATTACAAAATAACAGCAATAACAAATAAATAAATAAACTACAAAAGCGGTCTCGTTATGCAGACCTAGATTGCTGCTTAAGACTACGAGGTCCAAACCTAAAGTCTAAAAGACCTACCCGAAATCTTTTTACAATTGTGTACTTAAATCATACAACTTCAGCCATTAATAATTATTAATGCATTTTATTCATGAACAACAATTAATTTTGTTAAAAAAATTGTGTCTTTTCACACATATAAAAATACTGTAATAAGAAAAAGCCAGCATGTTTATTTTTCCATTCAAATATTTACGAAACTTGAATACAGTAATCAATCATTGTATCAAATGTAGTTTATCGCATTAATAGTGTAAAAACATTAAAGGAACCAAATTGCATTACGGAAATATATATATATATAGTATGTGCAGCAGTTCAATGACATGCCAGTTCTCTAGTCAGGAAAGAGATCCAAATCTCTGCAACAAATGCTGAAGTGCACTATTAGCTAACCGGACCATGTTTGGTTTCTACGGCGCAAATCTCGGTTTGACTCTTGTAGGTTTGAAGTGATTTGTCACCTACAAGAACACCAAGGCAACGGTACTTATAACCTCGACTAAGAAAGGGCGTCAGTAAACAGGTAATAGAAACACAAAAGTGAGTTAAAAGGTTTAAAGGAACGCAATAATGCGATAATGACACACAAATAGCGCAAAGAAATTGGAATATTAAATACGTGTTTAAAATTCTCGTAATCGTAAATACTAAATGCGTAATATATAATATACTAATGAATGCTACTGAAATAAATACAATTTTACATAACTTTAAACAATTTGAATCATATCTGGATACGAACTGCTAGCAATTCAATGGATGAAACAACCTTATCTTAAAAACATACAAGTATTTAGAACTCCGTATTAACCTACAGTAACCGATAATGTCTATATTACGTGGCAAATGTGTCTATATTACGTGGCAAATGAGCCCGATTTTCCCATAAACTAAATAGGCTATAACTGAGACACATCGGCAGTCAATGTATCTGTTCTGGAAATTAAGAAATTTTAAAAATTAATGAAATTGGGTCGACTAATGATTTAGTTGGATATTCTAGCTCACAAACAATTGCAGCATCTATCCCTAAAACAGTATATAGTAATCTTCAAAAAGTTTGATAATGAGTAATAATTTATTAATGATTTAAATAATAAATTAAAAATAAAGAATGATATGCATATAAGTTGTAATGAGTCATGCACTTTCAAATGTGTGATTTCATTTCTTGGTATGTGAAGACATAGAATTCCTGCTAGCAGCAAGTGTTTGATAGTTCTCCCAAGTTAAGAATTTCTGACGTCTTTGTGTACTTGCTTTGCTTGGTGCAGTTTACAGACTGAACTAGCCAAGCCCTTGCGGTTTCTCTGTTGTATTTGAAAGCCATTCGTTATGATTGAGACGACATCAGAGGAGTTGCAGAATCATTTATTGATGTTCAAGTTTGACTATGAGATCGAACTAGAATTAATGACAGACACAGTGTAGATCCTTAAAGTTTTCTGAGGCTTGTTGTAAAATTACAAGTTTTGGAATGTCAAGTAGAGATATTATTGAGGACATTACTTCTTCTGCACGTCAGAGCATATCTCACAAGTCTTAACGGCTCGGCTGTCTAGTATAACCCTCTAGATTACAATTTGCAAGGCAATAGCAAAATTTTCTTATCTTCATGTAGACAGCAGACATTGAAAATTTCAAATAGTTTTACAAGTAAAATTTCATTAATAAGTTTCATTACATTTTCTTTATTTCAGATATATAATTATGTTTAACTGTAGTTGTATCAAACCTTTAAATAATTCTTACCATCCAATGGCACAGTTCAGCACTAAGAATTCGGCAACTGGATTTGCATGTTAAATGTATTAACACGGTTTTTATGTAATACCTTTATATTAAAAATTAGAATTGCTCAAAATTTTATAAATAAAATTATTGGTTCTGAGAAAAGAATAAGAAATATTTACTTCAGAATCTCACTATTCTTAAATCTCACTATGTAAACATCTTAGCTAGGTATTGCATGAATATTAAATAACGGAACATTTACACCTAAAAGCAAAAATACAATAAGATTTGTAGAATAGTGTAAAGTTCTAATAGAAACACAATTTAGTATCCATATTTTTATTTAGTTTTGATTCAATAATTGTTTCTTACAGGTAGTTCTGTTTTGCCTAATTGCAGCTGTCAGCTGCGAAATTGATATGCAGGTCGATGCCTCTGGAAAGTATAATTTTAAGTACAACACTGAAGACGCCGGAGCCCACAAACGTGAAGAGAGTGGTACTGGTGATGGTTCAGTTACGGGCAGCTTTAGCTACATCGATGCCAATGGAGATTTGAGAAAGACAGACTATAAAGCTGGTCCTGGTATTGGTTTCCAGCCATCTGGAGACATAAGTGTGGACAAAAAAACTGCAGAGAAAGCTGCAGAGCTTGCAGCTCTGGCACCCAAAGCACCAGTCACTGAATCCGCCGAAGTAAAAATTCCAGCATCTCCGTTCACTTTACCTCTGTACGCCATGCCAGGAATCCACCACACTGTACCCCTTGCTGCACCCCTAACTTATGCCTTTCCACATCATCTTGCTCTTCCTCTACCATACGGCGCCCTCCCATTTCACTGGTAATGAACGCAAAACTAGCTTGACTGAACACGTATTTCTGCTGCATGTCTGTAAAAAATTATGACTAACTGTCTGAAATTAATGATAAAATAAAAACATTTTATTGGTGAGTTTTGGATTCATTGTGCTCTAGTAACAAATAATGCCTCTCCTTTAGCATTAATGATATAGTTTAATGACATTGTTAAAAGTAATCACTACAAGGATACCTCGTTTTATTGGTTTCTCAAATATGGCGTCTTTCTGTCAGATCTTTTCTATTTAAACATTTATGACGATTCTACATCATCAGAGTCAATGAAGACCTTTTTACCATCTATGTATGTTTACTTCTTGCCTCTGAGTCACATTTTCTTACTTATCATGTTTCAAATATTTTTATTATCATTATACTGACATGAGACTAACAAATGGTCTAACAAGGGACTCTAAATATTCCATGTTTTATGAATATTCCAAGTCATTTTAGATTGTATTTTAGTCTTTGAAAGACTACCATTTAATTTTGATCATTTAATTTAGGCATTACGTTAACTTTCTTTCAATTTATTACAATGCTAAAACAACTGTTATACATCTAATTCATAGATTATTACTTATTGCAATATTTGAACTCATTCGTAAACATATTAAAATTAAAACTATTAGTAATCTTGCAATTGCCTATAAGTGATTGTAAAAGCCTACGTTTTTAATTTTAAATTAAAAGTTAAAAATTATTGAACATTTTGTTATAATGTGTTAAACTCTGAAACATATCTCAAAAGTGACTTCATGCTTCAAACAGTTAACGAAGTTATAAACATGAGATAAAAGCTCTTGCATAAAGTACGGTTACACCACACAGTTTAAAGTAAGCCCTTCGTTTAATCAGAAATTTATTCTGCGTCTGATATTTCTGTAAACGTGTCACACAGGCCATTCATCAGACCTTTGGCAATTGGTTTTTATCCGCAAAAGTGAACCTTAGCCCATACTAAATGTTTCTTTTTTTGAACTGAGCCGACGTGGGCTTTTGCTTGCTCTTCTATGAAAAGCAAACGAAATATTCTCTTAGTATTCAGTTTTTGAGAATAGGGTCACTTGCTTGTATTCTTTTCATATTCGTGTAACCTCAACGAAAGAATCAGATCGATATCTCGTGATAAGGCGCGGCATGCAAAAGACAATTTTTCTTAAAAGTAATCTCAAGATATCTATATTTGCTGCCTCTGGTTTCGACGGTATCACTTTCGCATGGTTCAGGAATATTTTGATAACAGACTCGTTCAAATTCAGCGTTCAAGGAATCTGTCGCGTACCCGCTCCGTGACACTGTTTCTGAAATCTCTTTTCGCGTACTTTGCAGATAGTGACGTCTTCCACTTCCTGATGCTACCAGGAAGTGGAATCGTTGTCTTCCCTTTTCTACATCTGCTAACAATGCAGGTAAGAATCTTGATTTCATTTGTTAGCATGTTCTGTGAATTGTAAAAGAGATATAACGATTCCAAGCTCATTATGAGACGCTTGTGACTTAATATTTAAACTTATTTTTACTGTACATTAGTTTAAGCTAGGTACTTTGTGCCTAAAACGTATTTTCTTATAAATGCAAAGGAATTTACTTTTTCTTAGCGCCTGTAAAAGCCCCATATGGAAATGTTTATAAATTTACTGGTTCTGGCAAGGTGTGTTTCTTCGTTACATACTGAATGTATTAGCTAATACAAATAAAACAGCTTTCTGTAAATAATTTCAAATAAAATCGAAGACAGCAACCAAATTTTTAAATTTATTTGAGCAAGATGCTTTGAAAAAAATGTCAAATACTTATAAAATGTTAAAAGCAACTGCATTTAAAAGTTATTCTTTTTTGGGGAAAAAAGCATTCTTCTCCGAAACATAGAAAATTATGACAGTTAAAGAAAATGAATAATTTTTCTGCGTAAAAGATTAAAACAAGTACAAATTTAAAAGGAAATCTTCATTTTTAAGTGTTGTTGAATCCAGGACATTGAATTCTTTGAGAAATAACGGGAAATCTTTTTGACATATAATTGCTCAATAGATCTTCAGGCGTACAAGTACACTTTTCAGAGGTATAAAGCTTTAAAAATAAAGACTCTGAATTATTTGTCTTTAGGCATAAATTTCAATAAGTACCCCTTTTTAATGAGTTATTCTGTTTTGATCTGTAGCTATTGTTACTCTTTCTTCACTTTATGGCATGCTAGGGGAGGAATTAAAACGTTCAAGGCCCAATATCAGGTTTGAAGATTTGTTTTCTTATTAAAAATAAATGTTAAACATTAGTCAGATATTAAACTTTTTTAAATTACATTAATAATGGACTTCAAAGGAATTATTTTAATACATCAGTTATTGAAATTAACTGTTCAAAGGCCATTTATAAAGAATTCTACGGTAATTAGTTGACTTCAGAAAGCTGCCTGTGTTCTTTTCTAATTAAACACATTCCAAATGAAAGAAAGATAAAGCAAGTTAAAAGTCAGTTTCTGCTATGTATAAAAACAATAATAAAAAATATTTGAGTGATCCGAACTTGTTATTTACAGTATTTTACAGCTATTTTAGAATAAACTGCATATTTTTAAAGTAATAGTTTGCAAAGTTTTGAACTAACAATTATTCTGTTAATAATATAAATATTTGTCATCAAATTCATGATAAATTATATTTAATAGTCAATTCATTTTCAAATTTCAAGTATATTTTAATTTTACAACATGCTGCGTTTTACGTGATCAAAGGATATCACAGTTTCAATAAATTCCCGTGCTCACCGCCTATCTCAGTTTTACTAAACATGCAGTGTGAATAGTATCAAAAGAGAGAAAAAAAAATGGGTTGAAGAAAACTCTTACAAATATTTACTCGATTTACAGTTACAACATACAATTATTGCATTAGTAATAGATCTTCAAGATAAAGATATATGAAAGCAATCAATTTCTCAATTTTATTTTCGAATAAACTGACTTAAACCAAATATTATAATGTTAGGCACATAGTTTGAAAAGATCCTCTTGCTTTTGGCAGGTAAACATAACTTTATTTTTAATGCTGAAAACAGCCTGTGCCAGCTTTTAGTTTATCTGATTTCGGGTTCGATGTATATAGGAAGAAAAGGAATCAAGGTTCAAAGTGAGAGAGTCGTATCTGAAAAGTAACATTTATTCACGAAATTTTGAGGCCTTTGAAATTTCCGGGCACTACCTGTCATGCTCGGAGGGTTAAAGCAAAAGCTTCAAACATCTAACTTTTACCACAAATACAAAACACTTTTAATTAGCTCTGCATACAATCATAACAAATAATTATCTAAATTAGATATATATTTTTTCACGAATATAAATTAATAAGCATTCAATTTTCTGATGTCATTTTCAGAAACAACATGCATGAAGAGATTCACATAAACTCAAGTTTTTAACAATAACATAATATCATTTGAAAGACTATTAATGCCATTAATGAAAATCCAAAACACTTTCTAAAAAGCTAGAATAACCACAGAATATATCAGAATCAAAAGTAAGATTAAATTCACCTGAGTCATGCATTTGAACATGCCACATACTACTTGAAAAGATCCTTATTGATTTAAACGAATAGACGCAGCATTGTTTTAAATGCCAGAAAGGCCTTAAATATCCACATTTGACCAAAATCATAAAACACTTCTTATATAGTAATTCTATTTGCGTCCAAATTCTATTATTATCTACATTAGAAATAGGCCATCATGTTTATGAATAAGAAAGATAATAGATTTCTGATTTTATTTTCAGAAACATAACGTGCATGAACAGCAAAGAATAAGATGATCAGAATTTCCTACATAAAGAATATGCAAAAACCTGAGAGTTCCCTACTATACCTTCAAGTTATTTTAGGTTTATTACACAAGTCCATTTGCTCTAAAAGGAATTTTCTACTGTCATAAATATCTTCATCTGAAGAAAATCGTTTTCCCCAATGATATTTGCATATTTTTCTTATTCGCTAGGAAGCACTTCATTTAAATCCTTTTTCTGCCTGTTTTTAACGAAACTTCATCGTAAACGGTGATCTACATTACTTAGAATATTTTTGAAGTGAGATATGGGAACATAACTATCACTAAGAAAAATATTTAAACTCATAATTGTTATTAACTTTTATGTTTGAAAATACACTTAGGGGATGATAATAAATTTAAATTCACTAAGAATACATACTCATTATTTTTTATTATAGTTGGTTTTGAAATCAAATTGAACGAATTTACCTATTACTCCAATTGTTCACAAAAATCAATAAAACTTTTGATTTGGTCTTTATCTAAAAATTCCTGAAAAACAAGCTTAACCGATTTTGCAAGCTTTTCAGATATACTTGGTCTTGCAGTAGGTTTGTTACTAGGAAATATAGATGGTTAAGGAAGGATCTTCCTTCCGTTTCTGGCATTTACTTGGTACTTTTAATATAATACCATCTCTGTCTGATATTGAATCAGTTTTTATTATCTCCAATTCAATAAAACTTTCCTCACATACAACACTTCTTGCAGATGGCGACTAGTCTTTCCGTGGAACTTTTTTACACCACATTAATTCTTATCAACGTTTTTTGGAAATTTGAAAATAGAAACGTGAGTGCCAGCTTTGTCATATTTTGACTGGCATTCTGGTACACAGCATCGATCTGAAATTATTGAATAATGAAAAATAAAACAATTTAAAAATTCACTATTAACGACTAATACTCATAATAAACACAACTGCAACGATTGCCACATGCATTACTGCACTCAGAGTTCGTAATGTCAAATCATATGAACTTCTGAGCTTGCCTGTTTATATTGTTGGCCATGATATTTAAAAACTGGCCATGGTATTTAAAAATTACAATTAAAAAATAGCTTTTCTTGCTTTTAATTTCATATTTTTTATTTTATGTCCCAAGCGGTCAACTCGAGTGACGCAACGGCCTTGCGTGAGGGTCAGACAATATTACACGTATTTGTAAATTTCAACACATATGAAGCGAAAAATTTCATTTTATCAAACATTTTTATAAACTTCTAGCTTTGTATACATTTTTATTACAAACACTTTAATGTAAA